TGAGGATCCTTGATGTCGCATGGCTGTGGTCATGTGTGACCATCTTCAAACTTGGAAACAAACGTTCCTTGGAGCCTGGCTTGGTTTGCTCCACCATTTGCTGGACCGAGAGCTGCTCATCTGCTGCAGCATCAATGATCATCTGCCTCTGGATCTTTGCAAAGTGTTCGCATAGGGATTGATCCATGGAAGGGGCCTGAACAGTCACCTTCTGTTTCTGAACCTGTAGCTGAAACTGGGACACACCATAGCACGGAGTTGCAAATTGCTGCGCCAAGTCCCATGTTGCATGCTGCAGCTCATCGCTCGTCGCTTTCAGTTGGATCTGAATCGAGGTGCCAACCTGACGCAACAGTCGCTCCTCGAGTTGACGCTTGATTCATACACGGCCGACGCCTTGTCCAAGTTCATTGAGCGTATCGAGCTAGTGTTGAACTCCATTCCCCAAAGTCACCAGCCTTCAGAACTCACGAAATTTACCTGGTTTTTCAGTCGGTTGAAGCATTGTCGCGCCATGCAACGGTTCATAGACCGCATCAAAGATGCCCGTGAGGGTTCGCATGTCCGCACATGGGACTGGCTGTATGGTAAGCTTCAGACAGTTGCAATTGAACAGAGGGAGGATGCAAATGAAGAATCCGTTCGTCGGTCCATAAGCCCCAATAAACCTGCACCAAAGTCCAAAGGGGAAGGTAAGGGTAAGGCTGTGCCAACCAAGGGTGCAAGTGCTGATGATCAGGATCAGGTCAAAGATCAACATGCCATGCCATCATCCACCGCAAAGCCAAAGGCAAAGCCTAAGGGCAACCCAAAGGGAGGTGGGAAGGGTAAGGAAGGAGGTTCTTCAGATAGGCCAAAGGCCGATCCGAGCCCAAAGGGCAAAGCTCCTGCTGGAAAGCCGAAACCGAAGCCAAAGGCTGAGGGAGGCAAGCCATCGGTCAAATGTTTGTTTTACCCGAATTGCACTCAAGGTGACACATGTCCGTTCTTGCATGAAGGAGCACCAAAGGGTAAGGCGGAGTCAAAGGCTTCACCTGCAAAAGCCCCCGCCAAGGCTGCCGTGGCCACGCTGCTCGCTAGAAGCTTTCGAGGAGCCGAGGCGTCAAGGACCAGCACGTCATCAATAGGCAAAGCCTTTAGCATGTATCCTTTCAAGGCATTCTTTGCATCAGTTGCCGCTCTGTCGTCGTTGATTGTGCCAGAGTCTGTAGATAAGGCAAAGCCATGTGGTAGTCTGCACTTTCCTGCAGCACCACTTCAGGACTCGTTGCTGGCAGGTGCACCGGTTGTTGTCCGTTCCAATGAAACAGCTTGTGTTGCCTCGGCACGCTCAGGTACCATCTTCGATGTCGAGTGGATCGCGGACTCCGGAGCCTCTAGGTCTCTGGCTTCGATCCGGTCGTTGATCGATCAAGGCATTCCCGAAGGTTTGATTCAGCAACATGTCGATCAAGCTTCAGAAATCAGGCTCGAAACTGGTAATGGAACCACTAATAGCACGGAGAGCTTTAGTTTTCATGGCAGTAGCTTTGGAACTTTTGAACATCGCACCCTTGACAATTGTCCCATCGCACGAAGTTTGGGTGAAGTTGTCAGCAGTGGTCGTCCGTTCATCTGGCTCCCCGATGAGCTCCCGTTCTTTGGTGAAAGTGTTGAAAAGGTTGAAGGTGCGTGTGTTGGCCAAAGGTTGACTGCTGATCGCATCGAAGAAAATGTTCCAGTGTTCAAGGAAACTTTTCAAGTCGCGCCAGGTCGTTCATTGGCTATGCAAGGTGTTGCAACCGAGATCCCATCGGCACTCCCTGCAGGTGAGGCAGGTGAGGATGAGGATCCTCCAGCAGTCGTGCACAGTGATGCAGACTCTGAAGATGCAGCCGAAGAACCTCTAGACAGAATGGCTAGACTTGTTCGTGAGTCACAGACCTTAGAACACCAAATTTCACACTTCCCCAAGAACCCAGCATGTCCGATATGCAATCGCAGTCGCATGTATCGTAAAAAGGTCAGAAAGTTGAGGGTTGATCCACTGCGTGATCGAGGAAGGTTAGAACCTGTCACACAGTTTGGTGAAAGACTGGCCACTGATTTCATCATAGTGCAAAAGCTTGCATCGGGAAAAGAAAACACCGTTCAGGTTATTCGTGATGAGTTCAGTGGATGGCTTCGAGCTTATCCAATTGCCAAACGTGACACCCCGACTGTAGTTAGGAATCTCCTATCATTTCTGGGCCCCGCGTACAACCAACTGTGTATCATGATCAAGTCTGACCAGGCATCAGAAACACGCCTTGCAGCACAGCAGCTTGTTTTTTTTTGAAGGTACTCTTGAAAATAGGCACCCACACAATAGTGTCTTAGAGAGGGACATTCGGACACTTGAAGAAGTGACCCGAGCTGTTCACCTTCAAGCCGGGTTTGACACCATTCCAGGCCTCTGGTCTCATTCAGTCAGCTTCGCTGCAACCGTGCTTAATGCCCAACAGGTTCCGTCAGGCCGTGAGCAGACTCGCCATCAGCTTGCGGTAGGTTCAGAGTTTGGGGGTCGGTTGTTGATGCTAGGACAATTGGTGCATTATCGGGTGGACCCCCTTCAGAGGGAGAATTTCGAAGCGTCTACACGTCCAGGCTTGTTTGCTGGTTGGAGGTATGGGGATGGTCCCAAGAGTCATTTGGGTGTGTATCTTGCTTTGGATTATGCCAAGGTTAAAGGTAGGGAATCTGGTTTTGCCAGCAGCATTGTAGTTCCAGCGGAAGAGCTATACGTTGAAGAAGGGCCAGCAAAGCTGCCCATGAAAGTCGCAGCTGATGAAGCGTTGGCGACCTTCAGCGATGCTCGACTCGAAGAGATCCAGCCCTTGGACATTCCATTCTCGAGCATTTCCCCAGATACACGCGTTAAAAGAAATGAATACATCACATTAGATAGAATCATCAAGTATGGACCATCAGTTGGATGTAAAGCCTGTGCATGTAGTTCTGAATATAGTGTGCATAGTCCAGCATGTCGTGCACGCTTCAACGCCCTCGTTCGTGCAGATCGAGCGATTTCAGGCACCAAAACGCCAGGCACTCCAGCAGCACCAACTCCAGCTGCAGAGCCGATAGAGTTCCCTGCGCCCACTGCAGATCCCGAACCCGCGGTGGAAGTTGTTGATGCTCAACCAATGGATCCCGAAATCCCCGATGAATCCTTCGATGGAGTAGAAGCTCATGATTTGCCATTCAGTGCTGGGATCCCCCCAGGGTCTTCAGAAGCAGCAATGGTAGGTAAAGTAGCTTTTGTTCTTGATGAAGCATTTGTCCAAACAAACAGGTCCAGAAACATGACTAGAAGAACTTCAATGTTGAGTGGTCGTGGGATGTTGTTCGAATTCGCTTGTAGTGAACAGTCTATTTTGGGTAAGAAGTCAGCCGACATCGATGTCAAATGTGTCCGCCTAACCAGGGGGGTGCTTGACCTCACCAATCCAGAACATGTTGCTCAAGCGATTGCACAACTGCAGAGCGCTTCAGGCGCAGATGCATGGGTATCCGTAACATGTACCCACTACTCCCCGATCCAACGACTTAATGCGTCACAACATGGAGAGAAGTTCATGAAGAAATTGAAGAAGAAAAGAAAAGAGTCAAGACGCATGCTTGGGTATGCCATGCAATTTGCAGAAGCTTGCATGGACAGCCATGGTAGGGTTGCCTTTGAACTGCCACAGGAGTCAGAGATTTGGAACTTGCCAGAGTGGCTAGAGTTCGAGCAGCGTCATAACCTCAAACGTGCCTATTGTGACGGATGTGCATTCAACTTGCGCAGTAAATCCGGACAGCTTCTGAAGAAGCCTTGGTGTATTGTCGCGAACTGTATCCGTATGTATCAGTTTGTAAGCCAGCATCGATGTGATGCCTCGCACACCCATGGTGAGTCAATGGCGGGTAATGCAGCACACACTGCTTACTACACGTCTGAGTTCGCTGACATGGTGATGGAAGCTTGGTATCCTCAGCAATGGTACAAGACAGTCCCAAAGCTTGCAGCTGTGACTAAGTCACTCACACGTAAGGAATGGTTAAGTGATCCTAGAGCCCTAGAAGCTTTGCGACAAGAAACTGTCGGACTTCGCGCCAACGCGACATGGGATGATTCGACGGTGACCACACTTCCAAAACTCAAGGCATGGGCCCGCGCGTCGGGTAAGCGCATCAAGGTGGCCGAACTGTTGACGTTAGTTGGCATCAAACACCACGAATTGCATCCATCTGTTTGGAAGTATAAGGGTCGCATAGTATATAGGGGTGACCAGGTGCGCGACCAGGACAACAACCTGTTGCTCTTTGATCAAACCGCTACCACGCCAACATCACTGGTGGCGTTGAATGTTGCACTCTGGAATGCTTGCAGGAAAGGAAACGCGGCATCATGCGCGGATGCCATTCAGGCCTTTCTGCAATCGGAACTGGACACAAATGATCTGACTTACGTGGTCATTCCGGTCGAAATGTGGCTGGATGAATGGCACTCAATGTTTGAACCCGGGTCGAAATTGGTAGTTCAATTGCGTAAGTCACTGTACGGCCACCCAAAGGCCGGCAGGTGGTGGCAAGACCACCTAAACCTTCGTTTACGTAACTTAGGAGCACAAGAGATGCCAATGTACCCCTCAAACTACATGATCCCATGGACAGTAGAAAATCAGACCGTAACCCTTCTCTTAAATGTGTATGTTGACGATCTGACCTTGTGTGGAGATCAACGATGTCACTCAGAGTTCTGGACAAAGCTCCGAGAGAGCGTGAAGTTGGAGCCAGAGCAGTACACCGTTGGCCAAGAAGGAACACTCATTCTTGGTAGAAAGCACTACATGGAGGTCAAGGACGGCTGCGCAGAATGTGAGTTGGACATGAGGTCTTACACGGATAGCATCGTGGACACGTACTGCGAGCTGACTGACTTTGACAGGAAAAGGTTCAGACATGTACCTTCACCACACCTACCAGAGTCAGCGGCTACGGAGGAGGATCTCACACAAAGTGGAGAGCTTGAGAGGGATGCTGCACGCATTCTCATGCGGATCCTCTGGTTGTCTCGCCTCACGAGGCCGGACCTGTCCTTTATAGTCACGCGACTTGCCAGTCGAGTTTCTTGTTGGAGTAGGTTTGAAGACAGACAGTTGCACCGGTGCGTGTCATATCTGAACTGTTCTCAAGAACTGATCCTGAAAGGCTCGGTTTCGCATGATGAGAACTTCAGGTTGGATGTTTATACGGATGCTGACTTTGCAGGATGCATGCACACCGTGAAGAGTACATCCGGTCTTTGGATTGAAATTTCTGGGTCCGGTTCGACTTTTCCTGTGTGCTGGCAAAGCAAGCGTCAGTCCAGCGTTGCCCGCTCCACCACTGAAGCGGAGCTCATCGCAATGGCTAATGGTCTTTATGGAGAAGTATATAATTTGCAGTCGTTTGTGCAACACCTTGTAGGATCTCAAATTGAGGTGAAGTTCTTCCAGGACAATAATGCTGTACTCCAGGTACTTGAAGCAGGATACTCTGCTCGCCTGCGCCACTGCGGGCGTGTACACAAGGTGAACATTGCAGCGGTCTCGGAGGCCCTTCAAGATGAATCTGTCAATGCACAGCATTGCACTACGCTTCAACAAAAGGCCAACAGCTTTACGAAGATTATCCCACCAAACGAGTGGAGCCTGACTTTGCAACAGTTATCTCTGCGTTACAAGGCTTGATCTTCACATGAAATTGTCGGATGCCAGCGCGGCTTGCCATAAGGGCACCGACCGGAAATTGTATTTAGGGCAGTGATTTTCCGAACAGCCAAGCCTCGGGGGGAGTTGAAGGATTCCACATAAGGTGGCCCCCTCTATAGAGGTACTGTACATTTGTAGCTCCACTTGGTTGTTCCTGGACATCACATGTCTTACCAAGGTGTATCACTCATTTTGGATATGATCCGACTTTTGGCTCAAGCACTGTCAAAACAGCGCGTTTACTCGTTACGTCGATCGGAGGCGTGTCGTCGTAACAACAATCATGTTCCTAAGAAAGGCAGGGATTGTCCCCATCCCTGCCATGACTTTCGAGCCAACAAAACAAATTTTGAGGCGCCAAACTTCATCTCCACTAAGTTTATCTCGTTTACATACCAAACCAGAAAAGCAAGCTCCTGAAGACACCACTTCACAGATTCCATGTGTTTTTTGGATTTTCCACTTTCAATCCAGGGCCAAACCCCGTCATGTCGCGTTGGATTTAATAGGCTATAGTCTATAGTTGACGAAGTTGAACACAAGATTAGTCAAAATTGAACGACCCAAATTTCCTAACCCAGATCGTTATCCTACATGGAGGGCAGCGGTTTGCGAAGCGATTGGATCCGCGTCGGATGATCCGGATGCAGCTTTTGCAGCGGTCCTAGAAGTGTATGGTAATTGTATA